GTGGTGTCAGAAGTATTCACGGCGAGGCCACCGAGCAAGTGAATCTACGGAAAACGGTTTCCGGAGAGGTGTTCGTGGAAAGCCGCGGAAATGGCGAGCAACGAGAGCACCGATGAAGAGTCGGTTGCTCCGACGGCCGAGGAAATCTATGAGGAACAGAAACGTGAGTTGCAAACAGCACGCTCCCTGCTCTCACGGGCCGTGAACCGAGTGAAGGCGGTCATCGCCAAGGATCCCAATCCAACGACATTGACCGAGCTCCGCGCGGCAAGAGACTCGTTACGCGAACTGGCAAAAAGGCTGGCAAAAGCCACAAAGGCCGTTTTGAGGTCCCGTCAGATCGCGCACGAGACCCGTGAGGCGGAAATCAAGAAGGACCTTGACTACGAGGAAAAGATCAACGACATCAATTTCGACATCAACTCGTACTTATGGAAAAATGATCCAGATGCAGCTTCGGACGGCTCGCGTCGTGCATCCAATTCAATTCAGCAAGAAGCGATCGCCGATCCGCCGAAGATGAATTCAACGATGACTGGCAACACGCCGGCTCCGAAGAACACGTGGAAGGAGATTCTACAACGGATTCCGAAATTCGAAGGAGACCCGACCAAATTTAAACGTTGGAGAAACGCATTCTGTCTCTACGTGGATGCGGCATCGATGGACGATCTCGAGAAATTCGAGTTGTTGCTGAAAACGGTCAACGACAGCGTGGCGAAATGTATCATGAGTTTGGAGGTATCAGCTGCAAACTACGTCAGCGCGAGAAACAAGATCTTCGACATGTACGGCGACATCGTAATGGCAGAGGATCAACACGTCGACAACTTGATGGAAGCCTGTACGAGGAAAGACGTTCACGAAAACAAGAGTTTCGTCAATTTCGTCACGGACGTCTCTCAGAGTATCGAATCGCTGGTAGCTTTAGGAAACTCGTACGAAGGTATGTCGGTGTTCGCAACTAGATTCATTCTAAAGGCACTGCCATATGACCGGAAACGGAGATTCGATGATGCTTATGCGATGGTGAGTGAACAAGACAGAGAGTGCAGGCTGAAAGCGCTGCTCGATTTTCTCAGAGCTGAACAGAAGCAAGTCGGGAGGCTGACCCTAGTTTTCAAGGCAGGTGCGAGCACGAGTATTGCCAACAGAAAGAACAAATTCGGTAACCCGGGGGATTCGCTCCGAAACCGGTTCAATCCTCAAAGAGCGAGTCCCGCCGGACCGAGCGGGTCGATTAGTAGTCAGCACGCTTTCGCGGCGACCACGTCGTCACCGTCTATTGACCACTCTTGCATCTTCTGTTCAGAATCGCATAGCAGCTCGAAGTGTAAAAATCAAATGTCTCTTGAAGAGAGACGTAAATGCGCAACTTCGAAGGGTGCTTGTTTCCGTTGCTTGGCTCGTAACCATCTCGCGATAAAATGCAAAGCCAAGGGGTGCGCGAAATGTAAGGGGAGCCATCATATCCTGTTATGCGGGAAGCCCGAGGAATCGATCTCATCGGCTGCGGCGGTTGTTGAAGAACAGCCGCCGGCGAGTACGAATTCGATAAAAATCGTCGATGTCGCGGAGAAGCGACTACCAACGGGGTACGTCGAGGTTTTGTCTGAGGACTGTAAGGCGATCGGAAGGATTGTTTTGGATACGGGGAGTCAGAAGACTCTGATCACGAACAAGTTTGCGGACCTCTTACACGCAAAACAGGTCGGCTCCGAGACTTTCTACATGCATTCGGCGGGGCATGCGTCTCCGAAACGATACAAGGGAAGAATCGTGGAAATCACGCTAAAGAGCCGGTTCTCAAACGCGCACCTGATGATAGTGGCGACAGCACTACCGGTCGTAGTGGAGGGAAATCTGCCCGACGCGAACTTCAAAGAAAACCTCAGAACGATTGCTGACTGTAATGAAGGCGACTGGGAAACAGATATCAATATCTTAACAGGGGTAGATTTCCTCTATCCCATCCTGGGTCAGAACATCAGGAAAGTGAGCAGTTTCATTGCGATTGAGACGCTATTCGGGTATTTCTTGTGCGGGACTGGCTGCCACCAAGAGATCAAGCTGAATCCAGCGCTGGTGGAAGCGATCAAGAAAAAGAGGGACTCGTGGGACGGAGACAGGGGGCGGGGACATTCAGACCCGACGGTCTCACTCGCAGCGACAGTCAAGTCGAAATTTGACCCCGACGACATAGCGTTCCTCTGGGAGACCGAAATCATGGGCATCGAACCATATTTCGAAGAAACGGATGAAGCTCCGAACGAGGAGATGCGGCAGTTCTTCCGGGAGACTACTAAAAGGAAGGAGGATGGGCGATATGTTATTCAGTTGCCGTTCAAACCAAACATTGACACGTTAGGTGATAATCGAGCATTGACCGAACAGAGACTAAGGGGTTTTCTAAGTAAGGCAAAACGAGATCGAGACTTCTTGGCGGCTGTGGATGCCGAAATGCGAGACTTGTTGAATCAAGGATTCATCGAACTCACAGAGGCCCCAAAACCAGGGGAAAAGTCGCACTACCTACCGCTCCTGGCGGTGATAAAGAAACCCGCCACAGCGAACACCAAAATGAAAGTAAGGGTAGTCAATGACGCCAGCGCGCGGTCAAGAGATGCGGCGGGTTTAAACGACGTATTGCACCAAGGAGAAAACCTCATAGCGGACATCGCTCTGGTTATCCTCCAATTCAGGCAGCAAAAAATCGTAATCTCAGCCGACATAGAACGGGCTTATCTGCAATATGAAATCACGCCGAGCACCGGAAGTTCTTGAGATTTCTGTGGCCTCTGGGCATATCCGAGAACCCGAAGGCGCCATGGCTGGGAATGCAATCGTGTCGGCCGCTTTCGGGTTGGTGAATGCACCGTTCACGCATTGTGCGGGCATAATTCATCACATAGAAAACGAGATAAAGAGGAAACCCGAGCGGAAGGAACTCCTAGAATACGTGAAGAAATGGTTCTACGTCGACGATCTGATCGCGGGGGCGACTGACGTCGATAAGGGGATAAACGTCGTCGAAACTCTACGAGACTCCTTCGAAGCCGGGTGTCTCCCTCTGAAAAAATGGGCCACGAGCTCACCCGAGCTGGGAGAATACATTCAGCGAAGTCACCCAGACTCGACGGTAACGTTCAGAGACGAAAACTTCAAATTCCTGGGAGTACGTTGGAACCAAAAACTAGATGCTCTGCACATAGATATCTCACAGACCCTGGATTTCTTCAGGTCCTGTGAGCCGTCGAAACGGACTCTGCTCAAAGGGGCGAGTCGAATCTTTGATCCGTGCGGGCTAAATGCGCCAATCTTACTGGGAATGAAAAAGTTACTACAGATACACTGGCAACGTCGATACGATTGGGACTTCAAGTTGACCGGGGAAGGTCTCGAAGAATTCAGAGGAGTTGCCGAGCGTCTGGAAAACGCGAAAGGCATCAGCGTAGCCAGGAGCTACCTCGGACCAAATGGAGACGCGAAGGGGGCGCAGCTCGAACTGCATGTGTTCAGTGACGCGAGCCTCACGGGGTACGGCTGCGTGGCGTACACACGGGATGTCAGTGATATCCGCAATGTAAATGTCTCATTCATAATGGCCAAAGGGAGAGTAGCACCTCTCAAAGGTCATTGGTCTATCAACAGACTCGAATTACTCGGAGCAATCGTGGCCACCAGGGTAGCGAAAAAGATCATGGAGGCGACGACCCGGAAGTTTTCCTCAGTAAACTTCTGGTGCGACAACGCAGCCGTACTGGGTTGGATTAGAGATAGACCTCAGCGCTGGCGGAGCTTCGTTCAGAATCGCATAGAAGAGATACAGGCAAGCACAAACGCAAACCAAAGGCGTTTTGTCAGGTCAAAAGACAATCCTGCGGATCTGGTCTCGAGGTCTTCGACTCTTGAGACCGAAGAGCTGCGAGATTTCTGGATGCGAGGACCAGAGTGGTTGAGTACGAATAGGGGGCCCGAGGATCACAATCTCAATCCAGAGGATTTCGAGCACGAGGTTGTCAACGAGAGGAGGGCGCAATGCGTGGTTGGGGCGGTAACGACGAAGGCCGAGTCAATCGGAGTGCGGTCCTTTTCGTCATGGGCCAAAACGGTCCGAGTAGTCGCCTATGTGTTGCGGTGGAAGAAGTTCAAGCGGGTCGCGAAACCGCAGTGGCTGATTCCGATCACTACAGAGGAATACGAGGCAGCCGAAAGGGCGATATTGGGAAACATCCAAAGGCAACACTTCGCGGCGGAGTTGGATTCTGGTCTCGAAGATCTGTCGAAAAAGAGCCAACTATATCAATATAATCCGTTCGTCGACAAGCATAATCTCATAAGATGTCGATCGCGGCTCACGAATTTGAGAGATGTGGACTTCGAGACTGCGAACCCAATAATCCTGCCAGGGGAAAACGAGCTCGTGGAGCTCTATGTTCAATGGATGCACTCGGAAATTTGTGGCCACGCGGGAAGCGTTCAGGGTATAATGCATCGAGTAAGGAGGAGATTTCTAATTCTGAGATGTCGCCGGGTCGCGAGTCGCGTGGTTAACAAATGCATGGTTTGCGTCAAGTTCAGAGCAAAGGCAGCAGCCGAACCGGTCCCGGAACTTCCTAAGTTCAGGGTGGAAACCGTAGCAGCATTCGCGATGACCGGGGTCGATGCCACAGGACCAATAACAGCCAAGAATCGGGAAGGGAAAAAGTCGTCGGCGTACATCATGCTGTTCTGCTGTCCGGTGTCAAGGGCTGTGCGGATGGAACTGGTCGAAAACTTATCGACGTACGAGTTTCTGCTCGCGATGAGGCGGTTTTATAACCGGAATCCGACAGTTCAATGTTTCTTCTCGGACAACGCGGCATCGTTCCGGAGAGCCGCGAAAGAGGTGAAAATTTTGTTCGATCTCGCAAGGACGGAGGCGACTCAAAGCTTCCTTAATAAGCACAGGATCTCATGGAAGTTTAACACGGAGCGCGCAGCATGGAGAAATGGGTTCGTTGAGCGGTTGGTCGGGATAATTAAGAAACCTCTCCGGAAAATCGTCGGGAAAAACTTCCTACCCTTCAGGGAATTGGAAACCGTTCTGACCGACATCGAGAAGATCGTCAACGACCGGCCACTAACGTGCGTGAGCAACAGTCCAGACGAGATGCTTCCGATCAGTCCTTCCGACCTCCTCTATGGCAATAAGGTGTGCCCGGCACTGCCGGAAATTAATGAAGCGCTCGAAGTCGTAAATCTGGCGTCACCGAACGTCCTGTCCGAGAGATGGAAGAACCAAGCAAACATACTGAATGCCTTCTGGAATCGGTTCAGAAGGGAATATCTGATTCAGTTAAAGTCGAACCAGGGGGCGAAACCTGTGAAGAGTCGGCCTCTCCGGGTCGGAGACGTCGTGCTAATCGACGATCCCGCACCATCCCGGAGTTTTTGGCCAATGGCCAGGGTGCAATCCATGTGCGGCGGGGAGGGGACGTCCGACGGACGTAAGAGGACCTGCATAATCAAATTAACGAATGGCAGAACACTCAAGCGTCCAATCCAACTTCTATATCGACTTGACGTTACGGAGGACACCTCAGAAGCCGTAGGAGGCGGGTTGAGAAATTAGGAGGTCTGATCGCGAACGGTGGAAGAGCGAAGACAGGACCATTGGGGTGTTAGTAGGCCTTCCAACGGATCGGATCCGTGAATCCGACTCCGCGGAGATCCGCAAGATTTTTGCGGATCCGGATCCGCAGGATCCGCGAGCCCTATCCGTATTGGGATCCGCAAGATCCGCCTAACAATGCATCAATGAATCGTAGTATATTCCGAATTCAATTCGGTATTATTATATCATCTCCACAGGCTCTCAGCGGCTATCTCCGTTCAGAATTGACGGCCTGTTTATGTGCATAGCACATATTTCTATTCGCTGCATGTCTCACGTCGCTTTGACGGGACAAACAGCGACGCGAGAATTGCTCTCATAGCGATCGCTTCAAGAGCGCGGGCCGCCGCGTGTCAAAAGTCTCAGTCATCTAGTTAGCGTGCGATCTGTGAATTCCGTGGAACTGCATCCTTCCCGATGGGCGACTTCAAGGAGAAAACAAAGGCAAAAAGTTGGGTCTGGAAGTACTTCCTAAGCGACTCGGTCAGAGCAAAATGCAAGAACTGTCCTAAGGTAGGGATCCGCGTTTCTGAGCGTTCGTTCGTAAGATCTCCTCATCCCATCATGAGTAATTGATCAGTAATGAGTGATTAAAGTCATCTGATTCCCTCAATATTGGTGATCGTAGGTCCTCTCGAATAAACGATCGACGGGCGTGTTGATCAAGCACCTGAAAGATCAGCATGCGATTTCCAAGAATAGCGCCCGAGCCATCTCCAGCTCACCTCAGGGACAGGAAGAGGACTTCCCTCATTCGTTCGACGAAATATCACCTTCGATAGGCGAAGAGCAACCCCCTGCATCTTCCGAGGAACCTCCATCAAGGAGGAAAAAACAGGTGCCTCTGCACCGTTTCATTGAACGTCAGCATAGTGTCCGAAACGATGCTTGTCGGTTAATCTGCGAGTCCAATATAAGCATGAATCAAATCGTCGAGTCGTCCGTTCTCAGACGTCTCTTCAGCCGCGCGTATCCAAGCGACTCCCCCCTTCCCAAATCTGGATCCACGCTAACGAAGTATCTTCATGAAGATGCCGAGAAACTACGAAACCATCTACATGAGAAACTTCAGAGCATTTGCTCTTCAGGTTCGCTCCAGACACTCCCTCGATGACAAATCACATGTTTCTAGATTCTAGGGTATAGATAGAAGTCCCTTTTCTCTCTAAGCCACGAGATGAATTATTTCGCTCCCCAGGTGGCAGAGTGTCTATATCATTTGATGAAGCTACCGCTGTGGGCTCCGATCGCTATCTCTCCGTGAACGTCCACCATGGAACGGCCATTATTGGAAATTCGAAAATAGCCGCTCTCGGACTCGTGAGAGTGAACAGCCGAGCAACCGGAGCGTACCTCAGCGGTCTTGTTGAAGAAAGACTCCAGCGTGTGGGTCTCCTGTTGAGCAACGTCGTTGCGGCAGCCACCGACGGAGCCAGTAACGTGCTCCGTGCTGTTGACATCCTAGGCGTGCAGAAGCAGAAATGCTTCGCACACGGGCTCGATCTAGTAGTGAGGAAAGTCATTCAGGGGAAGAAGGCATCGGCCTTCGACGTCGCGATTCTCAACGTCTCGAGAGTGGAGGAGACAGACTCTGACGAGAGATGGCAGGCCGAAGGGGGAGTGGGCTCAGACACCGAAGATGAAGCCGAATCTCAGACTCATGCAGAGGAGGAGGCGAGTCCTTTCCTTGGCGATGTAGTAGATCGTCTCCGGAGGACCGTCCGGAGCTTCAAAAAGAAGCCGAACCTCATGGATGAGATTCGTCGGGTGACTTCGCGAGACGAGTACAATGGAGTCGAACTACGACCTATTCTGGATTCCAAAACTCGTTGGTATTCGACAGTTGTCATGATTGAAAGGGCCTTACGTATCCTCCCTGCCCTAAATAACGTGATGTCTCGACACGGAACGCCAATCAGCGCTCAAGACGCTTCCGCATTGGAGAATATAGCTAGGGTTTTGTCTCCCTTTAAACGAGCAATACTCTTACTTTGCAAGAAAGAAGCCACGCTGATTCACGCCGATAAAATATTCAAGCTTCTTATCCAAGAGCTGAAGACATCTGAGTCAATCTTAGCCGAAGCTCTGCTTAGAGCTCTCATACAAGAACTGAACAAACGTCGGACCGTATCATCCACCGTGCTCGCGATCCTTGAGGACTCAGAGTACGACTTCGCACTGGAACGCGAAATCAACCAGGAGCCTGCCTCGGATGAATTGATCACCCTCATGATTTCAAGACCTATGGAGCTCACTCTTGACATCTCAAGAAGATTGCAATTTGCAACATCAGACAAAGCTTCGGGAGCTCTAAAACTCGATGGACATGCCCGTCTCCTAGATCATTCATGGTGGAATATCATGCGCCTCGGGCAGTTTCAAGTATCTCCGAGCATTTTCGCACTTGACGGGAAATCCGCGATATGCGGATTTAAAATTTTGCGGATTTTTGGAAGGCCTAGGTGTTAGTAATCAGCGAATGACGAGTTGGCACGGAAACAAGCATTCCCAAAACGAAAGTTAGCCGGTAAAATAAGCGTAGCCAAGATAAAATCGAAACTGCGCAGTTGCCGCCGATGGACTGAAGTGAGAACATTGTACGAATTAAATAAGGATATAGTTCTAGCGAGCCTACTAGGAACAGCCGCCCCCGGCGCGGCCCAACTCACGGAACCGCGGAGGCGGTTGGCAGGAGTTGGCACGAATCGGAACGGTGCCACCGCGCCGTACGAGTTCGGAATGCGTTCAGAGAGAGGACGCCAGAGGGCGCTCCGGGAAAATCTCGGAGTGTTATCAATTAGTAAGATGTAATACGATGAGTTACTAAATTTGTAATCGTTGGAAACCCCGATGGTGGAGACGTCTCGAATAAGGCTAATAAACGTGCTGGAGTTCTCTCGGGGGGATGTTCCGCGGGACGCTCGGGCAGACGAACGTGCGAGGGAAAACAAGAGGCCAGTCGTGTTCCGACTGGCATGAGAGTCAGAGGCGCGAACCGACCGCGGAACATCCAGGCGTCCTTCCGGGGAATTTCCGACCGCAGAGGAAAATTCTAGGACTATTCATTGAACTTGGTGGAGGTTCCGCAACAGTCTATACTGAGTGGAGTCTATCTCTTCTGATTCATCTGGGGCATTACTATCTTTCGATAATGGGGATTTGAGCGGTTTAGAGTCTTGTAGCTTATACTTGCTGACCAGCTCATTGATATAATGTTCCTGGGACAGAAAGATACTGTGATCTTTGTTCATGATAATCTGAATTCCCAAAAACAATTCAGCTGGTTTTGAAGTCAGCTCAAAATGCTGACTAAGTTGCTGGATGAAATCTTTAATGGATTTCTCTGACGGAGCGATAATCAGGCCATCATCGACATATAGAGCGATCAAAAGTCGTCTCTTATTGTCGTGAAATACGCAAGGATCGTATTTGCTCTGGGTTAGATCAAGGCCCGTCAACATGGTTTTAATCGTTGTATAGAAGCATCTAGGCCCTTGACGAAGACCATAGAGGGATCTCAGCAACCGCAATTTTTTATCGGTTACATCGGTAAAACCTCCTGGTTGATGCGTATAGATTACTTCATCTAGTTTTCCGTATAGAAACGCGGTCTTAACGTCAAATTGATAGACTCTGAGTCTTTCTTGAGCCGCGATATTTAGGACAAGTCTGCAGTCTGCACGAATCGAATCGTGATACGGGGGCAAAGATGTCAAAGAAATCTAGATTTTGTCGTTGAAAGAATCCTAGCATTACTAGTCTAGCTTCGTATCTAGTTATCTGACCTGAAGCATCTTTCTTTCGTTTGAAGACCCACTTATTTCCGATGATCCTTTGTCCAGGCGGCGGATCTTCTGTTTTCCAGACGTCCATCGATTCCAGCGAGTTAATCTCATCCTTCATAGCAGACATCCATAGATCCTTCTCAGTTGATTCCATGGCCTCTTTAAAATTTTTCGGTTCTTGATAAATCTCGCCCTCGACGTTAAAGAAGGAAGGATCGATAGGCTTACGTTTCGATCTATCCCTAAGTACACGTGGCTCGTAATCGAAATTCAGTTCCCACTTTTTACGATGCTTGTCCTTTTTTGCTGAGACTGGAACTGATGCTGAGTCAGACTGACCGGATGTTGAGTCACGTTGAACTGACGTTGAGTTACGTTGAACTGACGTTGAGTCACGTTGGTGAATTTCTGGTCCATCAGATTCCGTAGATTCATCATGGACCGCGCGACCTGCTGATTCTTCATATAGGTCACCGACGGGGGGGGCGCGGGTTCATCATCAACAAGTTTGGTGTCGTCTGCTGAACCA